CTGGATGAGTACAGACTGCGCAGACGTGTACAGATCTGGCATAACGATGTCTCACCTTGTTTCACGTAGCTTACGGGGCTTGCACGTCAAGATGGAACATGGCTGCGCAATGGCTAGGCGCCCGGTTGATTGCGACGCATACCTATGCGCCTCTCAACAGTCCTACATGGCTCCTGAGAGCCTTTCGACACACCTGACTCTCAGTGTCTTTCGTTGTCTTTCATTGCCTTTCTATGACTCTGGTGGCAAAGCTGTTCTTGAGTCATCGCTGCCTTTTGACAGTGAGCACTCCCGCCTCCCCCCTGGGGGGGGGGAGGGTGCTAGACCTGCAGAAAGTCATAGGACCACTTCACCCGATCAGTGCAATGTCGGTGTGGCTCCACTGTTTCTTGCTTTCGAAGATTTGCAGTCCTCGATTGGTGACACAGTTGTTTTCCCTGAGCCGAGATTGCTCCTCTTACATGCGACATATGAATGGTGTGAAGTTCGCTGTCGATTTACTGGCCGTTGTGTGCTGACCGCATTTGCACCTGCTATCTGTGAAGACTTTGCCAAACCTCTTGAGAACAGGGTATACGGCCACGTTACCTGCCTGCCATTGTATCAACACCCACGTGTATTTGATCTCTGGGTGCAAGTCTTATTTTCTCCCTGCGAAGGAAACCAAACAAGAAAACATGGAAGGCACAAGGAGGCCGCGTATTGAGTGCCAAGGCTGAATTCATCGCCCCTAGATTACTCTGTTTCACCGCGTTTTCGGCTGCGTCAGCCTTCTTGAGGTACGAACCTTGCCTCCTTTTGTGGTTGGGTTGGGTTTGTTTGGTTTTGTTTGGGGTTTCTCGGTGTGTTGCTCGGTTCGTATCTCTCCCTTTTACTAGCTTAAGGTGACTTGCGCATAACCTGCACACATAGCGCCTCGACTCGTGCAAAAAGAAAGGCAGGCATACGCGCTGTTGGAACTCAAGCCTGGCAAAGCTGTCGTCATCTCCGGATTGTCAAGATGCCGAATACTGTAGTGCGTATTGAAGAGAACACCTTTCGAGGGTGCCACTTGCTCAATAGTATAACAGTGCCAGGCTGCACCGAGTTTGGATACAAAGCCTTTGCCGACTGCTGCTCCTTGCAGTGGATCCATGCTAATGGAGGTGGAGCCAACCATATGGGAAGTGCAACTAAGCTTGGGCACTATCTTTTCGTAGACTGTATCAACTTGACTACCTTCACCATCCAGGAAGACGGCCACAACCCGGACTTGCCGAACCAAGAGCAGCATAGGGAACTACCGACAGGAGCTTTCTGCTCCACAGGGTTAAAAGAATTCGAATTGCCTCGTGACTTCCATGAGCTAGGAGCCCATGCCTGTGACAATTGTAAATTGCTCACTCAAGTAGACATTTCGAACACCAGCATTGCTGAAATTCGAGAGTTTACCTTTGTGCATTGCGCCAGGCTTCGAGATGTACGCCTGCCATACACGGTACACACAATCCACGTGAAAGCTTTTATGAACTGTGCGGCACTGCAAGGGCTTGCCATCCCACCCTCACTGCACTATATCGCCAGCAGGGCGTTCCTCGATTGTAGCGTATTTAGAAGGCTCACGAAGCTACCAGGCCAAAGAACCACATGGCGTGGGACGTATGCCGAAGAAAATGCCTTTGCGCTCTGCCCGCTATGCGGTGGCCGCAGTGGCTGCACATGATTCCAGACATGGGCTATGTGCCGGAGTTGGCTTAGGCCCACTGATCCATGTTGAGAAGTCATTATAGATGAATTCGATCGTTGGATACATATCAGAGTGACTTATACAAGTGTACCAATCGAACTCCATTGACCATTGGAACAGCCCTCCTAGGGGAGGGATAAAGGAATTGACGACACAGGGTGAATAGGCCTAAACTTGACTGAGCCCAGTGCCCCTTTCTGGTTCAAGCTGTGAGAGGCACACGTGCCCCCTAAAGAGGTGCGGAGATGTTAGGAAAACTCTCCTCACAGGACAGTACACCTGCAAGCGCAGAGCGATCTATTGTCTTCCACCTCATCCTGGTCACCTTGGCTGGGGAGGAAATCCAACTGCCAATTGAACTACAGGAATTTGAGAATGCGGTACTCGAGAGCCTCCCACTCATAGGCAAGCACAGCACCTTTGGGTGTGAGCTGGAGTTTGTCAGCATGAGCGCGCAGAAAATTCTTGCCGACCCTATTTGGGACACCTTACAAGAATGCAACCGCTTTAGCCTTGTTGTTCGACAGTGTCTCATCGATGCTGAACACAAAGGTCAACTGCGACAAAGAGCCAAAGCCATTTGCGTTCCTGCCGAGGACAGTGATCGAATGCTGCCCAATGCCTTTTCGCACATCTCGGACATTCGGCATGTACAGGTGGAGACAGGCGTCCACACCATTGGGGAGGCCGCCTGTCAAAGTTGTCAGCGACTCCAAATAGTCAAATTACCGAACACAGGTGTTTGCCTCCCCGCTACGCGTATTTAAATTGTCTCACCCGGGAATACGGCGCCGAAGTGCCTCCCGGCCTTGCACTCCCGCCGGTACCCCAGCGTTTTCGCAAACGAAAGCACGTTCGCAGACGGGCAAATTGCCCGGTTTTTGCACACGGAGTATGGCGGGACGGGGCTGAGGAGGGAAGATGGAGGGGAGCGAGATGGGAGGCGCGCGTGGGTGGGGACGGGGCTGGAGGGAAGGAGGGGGGCGAGACGGGAGGTGCATGGGTGGGGACGGGGCTGGCCAGGGAAGACGGAGGCGCATGGATGGGGACGGGGCTGGGGAGGGAAGATTTCTATGTCCAACTGCACAGCTTCTATGTTGCGCTCCCCTAATGGCAGCATTCTCTCGTTTTTTTGCATTCCTGGTCTCGAATCTTGGAATCAACGCTTGTACTGAAAAAACTGTATAACCATCCCAATTCTCAATACAGCTTACATTCATGTTGGTTTCCGTCATTAGAAAAATCTCATATTCATGCGTTTTCATGAGTTAATCTTTTTTCGTTGGCTGGCTCAGCCCTCTAACCTTCAACGTGGCAGCTCTGATCTGCTGATTAGCTCTGAGTTTAAAGGTTTTTGAGAACTTCTTATAGTTTGGCATATCTCCTTTCCGTTCAGAAACCTTATGGGATCTAAGTGTTGCAAAGAAGGTTTTAAATTCGTTCTTGAGGTGAACAATGTTCCGTTGGAACCACCGTTTGGTTTTCTTCCCGACTTTCTGTCTAACGCTTTTTGTGAAAGCCTCTCATGGCTTTGGCTACCTGCCTGGCTCGGTCCCGGAATCGCGTCCTTTTGAAATATCTCCATGCACAACGACGCTGTGCTCGTAAAAAGTTAAAAACCTTGGCCCTTCTGCAATTGTAGTAAGAAGGGTTATGGTTTGGTGTTAGATGGTTGCGACTCCGAGTCTGTTCAGTCAGCCCAGAGGGCACTGTCCCGGCATGCCTTCTTGAAGGCAAGTGGCTGTCATCAGTTCTTGCGTAGTTGTTCTTCCGGAGGGGTGCTCCCCAATGGCGTGTGCCAGTGTGGGGTTGTTGCCTTGCTTTTGCCATGTGTCTGCTTGTCATAGTGTTGTTTTCTGCTGGTGATGTGTAGTCATTCATCCATCTGGTCTTCTTTGTTTTCTTCTAGTCTGGCGGCTGCAAAAGTCACTGCGTAGGGATACTTGCTATATGTTGGGTATCTGGGATGCTCTTTGTGTACAGTTCTCCACGCATCATGCCAAACATTGCGAATGAGGTCCACGAGGTGCTTCTCCGCAGTGATTGCCACGACTCCTTGGTCTTTGTCATAGGTGGCTTTTGTAATGACCTTGTGTGCTTCCAGGTCATAGATTTGCTTGTCTGTGGTTCTGTGTGAAAGCTGTGTCATGCCTGCATAGCCAGTGTCTTGGTGTGTTGTCAGTATTTGCATTGCTGTAGTGAGGGCCATATTGATGATCAGATCTGTTTTGCCAAGGTAATTGGTAATCACCAGTTTGTGCCATCCTCCATTCCTGTGCTGAATTTTGTTGCCGTGCATGTCCCAATAGTGCAAAGGCCATTTGTTGGAGAAAGTGGTGTATGCAAACTTCTCGAACCGCTGGTGTGCCTCTAAGTTTGAGAATGTGAGAACTGTGACTGGTGAGAGTGTAAACTTCTTGGCTGACTTGTTACTAGTAGCTTCTTGTTACTACTAGTAAGGCACTTGGTAAACTTCTTGGCTGCTGTATAAAACCCATGTTCTTGTTTCGTGCTGTCTTGAACTTGTGCTTTGTATAGAAGCCAGTCTGTGATTCTGACCCTGTCCGAGTAGTACGCGTTCTGCGGTCAGGATTTGATGATCATCTTTTGTCTGCTCTCAATTTGTCAATTTGTAGTGACATTGCTTCTTGCTGATTTCGAAGTTGATCAGAAGAGCTGGCTCCTGTTGACTGAAGTTGCTCAAGATCTTGCTTCATTTGTAGGCTCAATTGCTTCATCTGCTGAAGGAGCTCACACGCTTCTTGTGCAACGTTGTGTTTTGATTTGCGCTCTGCTGGTCTATGTTGTTCATCCGGTCCTTTTGTCACTCGTTGTGTTGTGGCTGCAATTTCATATAGTGCCTTCGAGGTAGATGAGCTTCTTGTCCCCCAAATTCTTCTTGTGGTGATAGCCTGTTTTTCTGCAAGTTCTGTCTTCTTGCTTGCTTCTGTATCATCGTCTGCTTGTTCGAAGGCTATAGCTTTTCTTTGTGGTGTCTGTGATTCTGTTTCCTCTTTTCTTTCTTTCCCCTCCTCTTTGTCTCTGCCTTTTCTCTCATCTTTTTTTTTCCTTCTCCTTTAAATGCGGCTTTCTTACTGCCATGGCTGACTGGCTGTTGCCTGCATGACTTTGTCTAGTTTCTCTCGAGCCTAAACCCCTCAACAAGAAGCTACGAGGTAAAAGAGAAAAGCAGGTCGATGGGGGGTCCGTGTCCCACGAGCGATTCGATGGCAAAGATCAGGGTACTTTTGCGTCGACCCATTCTGTGACTTGCAGCCTTTAGGTTCAACTATATACTCCAGCAAACATCATCGTCACTCATGTCGGCCGGATCCAACAAGCTCTTTGAGTTCACCAGAGAGGTGTTTGCGTTGAATCCGGTCTTTTGGGTCCAGTCAAGTGATGCGTCTCTCGTCCTTGTCGCTGCTAGGTGAACCATTTTTGTGAATTGCAGCCTGAAAGCGAGCTGGCCAAGATCAAGGCCATTTAGCTTGAGCAGCTGTCCTTTCGGACTGCAGAGATGACAAGAGAGATGAGGGGACATCTTGACATTCTTTGGCAGGTAGTTCCTTCCTACATTTTGGTGGGTGACCAGTCCAGCGGGAAGACTTCATTACTCAGCAGACTGGCACGGTTGCCTCTGGGGTACACGGCAAACAAAACTGGGACGTGCCTGGGTTGAAGGTAATGAGTGATCGCAGTTTTTCTCAACTGTTTCGGGTTTGCTTTGCATTTTTTCAGTTGCCCATTTTGAGAGGCGGCGGCCGGTGGAGTACAATTTGATCCACGACGACTCAAAGTCAGAGCCCGACATTGAAGTGAACTCCAGGAAGGTGAATGAGGTTTCTCGGTCAGACAAAGCGTCATGCGAACTTGAACGTTGTCCCGGATTATGTTCGAGGGTGAGCCGGCACCGAAGTGAAGATTTGTTTTGAGCGCAACTCCCACAGCTCCAGAACAGCATGACAGGATAATGCAAGTTTTCAGTATGACAGTATGACGGCCTCAAGGCTGACTTTCTGAGCGTCATGATCAAAGAAAACGGCACGGAAGGCTTCAATGACTCGGCCGTCTCAGTGAAGATCCTCTGGAAGAATATACCTGAATCCGTCATTGTTGCTGACATGCCGGGGATGAAAGACGGCGACAACGAAACTAGGCAAAAATCCATTCCAAAATTGCAGGTAGATCTCAAGCATGCTTGATTCCCATCCTCTGAGTGTTTCCAGCCTAGGCCCCAGAGAACATGATCCTGAAGAGGCTAAAGAGCCCAAATGTCATTCCTGTGGTCATTTTGGAGCCAAAGGACTTTGACTCCAAACACTTTGCGTTCGACTTGTTGAAGAAAGCCGGGAGACGCTGAGAATGACATGGAGCGGTACGTGACAGTGTGTCCTAGTAGTGTCCTTGCTCCTAGTAGTAATGCCCTTTGTTCTAGTAGCGATGCCCTTTGCTCCTACTAGCTTCGTCCTCCTAGGTCAAGCTAAGCGTCCTTGCTACTAGTAGT